CTCAAACCTGGCAATTATAGAGAAAATAAAACTGTATAGAGCATCTGGCTACGTGCTCCTAGTACTTCAGTTAGACCATTCAGACTATGACACAACTATAAAATATAAAGAAATTCCAAGTTTGGGTTCTGATACACACTTCCTTACTCACAACATGCCTGCTAGATTGTGCTGCAGCTGCTATATGTGAATGAGTCTAAATCTAGATAAACCAGCACAGTTATCTCACAGGTAAATAATATCTACTTAGTCCCCAAAAAAACTATTAAGAAGAACTCATCCAAATGATGCTACATGTCATAATATAAAACAGGGCGCCCACAAAGTTGAACAGGCTCTAGCAATATTAAAATTCACAGCAGGGGCAATTGATTTAATTTGATGTAAAAAGGATTGGGTACATGATTTAAGAAAATATTTACTACGTATGTTGTTCATTTAATTATATTCTAGCTGATATATTCAGTTTGATAATGTATATAGTTCAGATTTTAAACTTTTTGATTAAAGGACTGTCAAACTTTTCTAGAGAACAAGAAAATATAAAAAAGCCACCTTGTGCTGAACTTGATATACTTGTGTAAGAAGAAAGACTTTAACTTACCAATGTTACTGTTTTACAGAACTGTAATTTTTACTGTCTAATAACATACATTATTTGATGCTGGAAACACTTTTTCTGGTAGATGCAATATGAAATTATTGTAATACACATTGCAGTGAAAACATAATTTCGGCCCACCTGATGGCTTCCTATAGATAAGGAGATTCTCCATTTCTCCTCTTTCAGTGCATCTCACCTTGCTGCTGGCTGCCTAAAGATGATACCACTTCTCCTATTCATTTTTTGGCTTAACAAGGGGTGTGAAGACCACTACCTTCAGTGCAGGGCAAGAAGTAGAACAGCACAGCCAGGACCAAGGAGGCAGGCAGACAGACACAGGACTGTTTCCTTTCATTGAGGGTAAGCAATTAATTAAGCTTAGTTGTAACATATACCCTCACTTTTAAAATAACTCAGTTCTATGGCAACATATAAAGCAAAACTATCAAATTTCTTGAGAAAGAAACTAGCATGTCGAGTGCAAGTGAAAGAACATCTTTCATTTTGAGAAACAAGGATTCTAAAACCACTTGATGCTTTCACACAAGCTCTCTTTATCAGAACTCTTCAGTTCTTCTATAAACATGAGCCTTAGCAGGATGCTGCTCTTTTCTTTGAACTGTCTGTGCCACAGGGCTTTGAAAGGTTGCAGTTACAAGGCAATGGGTGCTGAGGTTCACCATAGGTAACATTTATCGGAAATACGCTAGACTGTACAGTTTAACTGCAAGTATAGACCACAACAGACAGATCAGCAGTTGTAGGAAATGTGGTTAAAGTATTTTCTCTGTTTTCCAAAACAAACAACGGGTTTACATTTATAGTTAACTGCTGCCACTGGGCAGGTGCTGACAGACATTGTCAGCAAGAAGAAATACTTCCTGGGTAAATTAAGCCTTTTTAAAAGTACTTAATTTCTATTGCTGACTGAAGACAGTGGTATCATTTTAGTGTTCATACAGACACAAGTTGCTTCAGTGTCACAGTAAATTCAGGATTTTTCTTTCTTCCATGGTAGCAGTTTTCATCATTTCAGACTGTCAAAAGCAGTACCTTGCAGAACACAAGTAGTAAGCAATTAGTAAGGTACACAAACACAAGTCTTCAACACGTTTTAGTGCAGATGTGTACATGGAAACTAGACACCTATACAGATTGAAAAAATTTTGAACCATATAGACATGTTCTTAGAATGCCTTGCAGTTAATGGTAAACAAGTTAAACTGCTGCTTGAGCCATCCTGAGCCTGTTTAAATCAAGAAGTGTAATTTACTAAGTTAACACCAGTATCCCACCACTAGTATGTCCAATTCTTATATCAAACCTGAGGAAAAGTCATTTTTGCATTTCTTTTTTCAACTTCTGGGTAAAGATTTATGAACCTTTTCATAGACACATGGCAATGTCCATACAAGCATTTGGGAGAGCACAGTATTTCCAGCAGAACCAGCAGTTGATGCCAGTGTCCACTCACAAAAAAAAAAAGAGGGCATGAAGCTTGCCAAGACCTCAGACTTACAGTTATTGCAATCTAAACTTCTGATTTTAAATCAATTGTAATAGCATTTCTAGATACAACTTGCTTTAGAACAATGCTTTGGAAACTTGTAGTATGTTCCTCCTCCTGGCAGGAATCCTTAGTACTTTTGCTGGGAATACTTAAAGGTCACAGGAACATGAGAAAGTTACCCAAATAATTACTGAAAACTTCAGAAGGCGAGCAGCGAGAACAAAAGATTTAATGGTGCCATCTTAAATATTCTCCAGGCCATTTAGCTTTGGCTCTAGAGCTTTCTCACTTCTGTTCTATTTCTCAGCAAAGTTATTTGGGCAAGTTCAAAATTTTAAGTGACTTAAAAGCAGTTAAGGTGAAACATTAATCCATTTAGTCAAGCTGCAGCAGATAGCAAATCCACCAGAGACCCCCCCCCCAATCTGTTCACATTGTTCCACCCCTGCCCCTCCCTCCCCTGTTTTCTTTTGTTCTTCCTAGTCCTTTTAGTTTTGTCCCTCCAGCCATAGCTCCTTTCTCTTACCCACCTCCTCCGTTCCTTCTAACCCCCAGAACCACAGCTTCTTCGCACTACCTCAGGTTGCACTTTTTGCAATGCCAGGGCATTCATGTGTGGCGTCCTGTATTCGTCAGAGCATTGCCAGCCACCACACAGCCCTGCAGAGCACTGTGATACAGAGTAACAGGTAACATACAATTTGCTGGTGGCCAGCAAAGAAACCACCTGCATATCTATGTACATATATGTGCATGATGAGCCTTTCCGTGTACTTCCCTTTCCATATACATTCCCTTTCCATATACGTTGTAACTGCTGCACAGGGTCCTCCACTCCCCATCAAGCAAAGCTGCTCTAGGTGAAGTCTCTTATTGTGAGATTTGGACGTGAACACACAAGCAGTTACATGGCTATACAGACAGAAACAGTGTGTTCTCTTCTGCTTTTAACAATAGCCAGCATTAGATTCCACATGCATCCCTTAAAAGGTACACTGTAGCATGCCAGTCTCAGTCCTGACTGACAGGCATTCCACAAGATCTAGCGAACTGCAATCTGGTCACTGGTTAATGTGTCAGATTTGCAGAAAAGCAGTTACTAAGAAGTCAAAAAGAGCACAGCAGTTGTAAATGTGCAGTTTAGCATATGAGTTTCAAAAAGCAGCTACTAACTCCAGAGTATTTATTCACCTTCAGCCCCCTCATCTTAAGAGTACTCACCTAGTAGTTATAAAACCCAAATAGAATGTTTCAGAACTAGCCAGAATTCAGATAAAGTTTTATTTAAAAAGCGCCACATACAGAAAGCCATACTCTGTCAGAGTGAGAATGCAGGCATGTAAATAAAATAGAATAAAATGATGATTTTTCCAAGATGTTGAATGCTTGCAAAGATTGAACAGTAAGTTAGTTTTTTATTCGGTGCAAAGGCAAACTCTGACTTCATACTATGCTGTCCTTAGTGCGGAAAAATCAGGAAAAGAAAAATACCAAGTAATGCTAATGGCTAAACAAACACGTCAAGTGAGTTTCAAGCATTGCATTTTCGTCAGAAATGATGGTACAGTTTTACAGAGGTTTCATTTACACCTTTTAAATTGAACTACTATTTCAGTTGTAATAATCTCCTGTAAAAGCATGGCAAAGCTTAGTGATTTCAATTTAGTAAGAGAGTCTCAAACCATTTCTTCTTAGAAAAATAATTAGAATAGTTATATTTTAAAAAGTTATATTTATACACACACACACGTATTTTCTTCCCCCTACACAAATCTTACAGAAGAATGTTCCTGTGTGTTTACAACTTAAAATAATCTCTGGTTCTCCATATAGCAGACACTATTCAATAGACAATTCTGATAACAGAAATGGCATGCAACATAAAATATACTGGACAGGTGACATTACAGTTCTTTAAGGGCTATGAGAGTCTTGAAATCACTTGTAAGCTTAGAATCAAAATTCCAGGAAGAGCCTCTGGCACCAAACTACAACCATCAACTCGTTCAGGGTTGTGTCCTTCCATTTTTTCCCTCACACTGAAGGAGCCCCACAGGACAGATGGCCCCTGCTGGAGTCAGCAGGACTACCAGCAGGCTGGTGTGCTATGTGACCTTTACGTTCCCACAGCTCATGACTGGTGACAGTACCAAGAATCTACAGTGAGTACCGAGAAACAAACACAAACTGCACAACACTGTATTCTCAAGGTCTTCATTTAAAGAGCCTTGTATTGTGAGCAAATTAGTTCAGAAGGTAAAGGAACTTCTGGAACTTAGAACACTTTAAAGGACAATACAATATTCAGTTGATGTAAGGTTATTTTTGGGCCATGACCAAGTTAATGAGTATACTGTTAAAATTCTTTAATATTACTTCCTTTCATGTTTAGGTATTTTTTTTTTTTTAGCCAAATTTACAAAGATTTTTTAGTCCTTTAAGTGGTTCCTTGAAACTCTGAAGTGAACACCTACTTTCTTGGACACCCTAACAGTTTACAAGATTTTATGCTTATTGTACCTCTGTAGTTAGTGGGCTTTCAGAAATGGAGATACTTACTACAGGAGTTTAAAATTGGATTTTAATTTTCAATTTTGGCACACCCAGCTCACTGATGTCACACTTCAGAATAGAATTTAGCTCTCAACAGATAAGAGACACTTCGTATGTTTTACCTATATCGACTGAAAAACAATTTGAGTACCGTTTTAGCCCAACCAGTCAAGTTAAAAAGCTTATCAAAAGATATTTGTACATTCTTTTATATTTCAACCATCGAGTAATAAACTTTCTATTCAACCAAGTTGTATCACACAACTATATAAAATTAACAAAGAGAACAATGATGGAACAAACCATTCTGATTAATTTTGGGCTTGGTCCCAAAAGAGGTAGTCCATAAGTCACACACACATAAAAATTCCACAGAAGTTAACCTAACATGCCAGTCTCCTCCACCATATGCAGCCTCATCACTAAATGAGGCTATTTCATATCTGAGAACATTATAAGTTAGTGTTCATGTAAATACAGGAACTATAATTCAGAATTATTTCTTCATCTGTAACTTAAATCTGGTTCAGCTGAACCAATATATTATTAACTGGGCTTTGCCATCAGCCTCCTTAGTAAGAAAGCAGCTTTTCTCCAAATTAAATGTAAAACCTGCCTAATACACAGGTATGCCTTTAAATAACAAAGGGTACATGTATTTAGGCTTGGAGAGAAGCTTCAGGTTGTTAAGCCTCATTAGTAATACAGGTATATTTACTGTCATTTCTCTACAAATGCTGCTGCTGCCATTGAATTCCTCACGGTTCCTCTTGCTGAAGCTGCAAACTCTTCTATTTCTGCATTCAGCCTATTAATTACCCATTCCAATGCTTCACGGCCCTGCAGTTAAAAGAAAAAAAATCTATCAGTGTATAAATCTTAAATAAATGAATAGGTTAAACCCTGTCTTGCTGAAAATGACTAGACACAATAGTTGAAAATCAAAGGAAAGGTACAGAAATACAAGCCTCTGTGGTACTTATTACTTCAATAACTGGAGTACTGCAGGAACATGTCCTGCCTTACATTCCATAAAAAAAATTCCTTATGTCAGCAGTGCTCACATTATGAGCCACAAAAGTTTTTATCCAGATTGGTTTATCATTCTTGAGGCTGAACTCAAGACATCTTTGGATTCCTAGAGAACCCTCAACTAAAACACCACTTCGTTACTCCCACACAACTACTACAGGTATGTCTTTTTCAACAAAGAAAAACTAACGGATGGCAGCAAAAGCTTGACAGTGCCAGACTGTTGAGTGGAGATGGTATTTTCCACTGAAAATTCAGGGAGCTTTGCCAATAATAATTTATTATCTCCATTCACAAGAGGAAAAAAACTACAGAGGAAGTTCAGCAAGCTGAGCATTCAGTCTCTACAGTAAAGACAGTAGAACTGTGTGGACTCTTCCCAAGGCTGCTGTCAAAGCCAAAAAGTAAAATAGAAATTTTTTTCCCCTTTGTCCTTTAGCCAGTAGTCACACATTTTACACAAGGGTCATACTTACTTTATTAGCATTGGAAGAAATTGTGTTTGCCATTAGCCCTTCTAGGTAACTGCTCAGACTGACACCTTTTACTGATATTATTGCTTCTTGTGTCAAAACGGTTCTGAAACAGAGGAGGAAACAGAATTATTCTGAGTAGTTGAAAAAAGAATGCATTGTTGAAAGAAACTCACTCCTCCCCAACAAGCATACTCTCTTATCAGCTTTGCTGTGTAACACAGAAATTCTTGCCCCAGAAACACAACCCACTTCCACAGCGTATAAGTGCTTTATTAGAGGGTAGATTTAGATTAGATGCTAGGAAGAAGTTTTCCCTGTGAGGGTGCTGAGGCGCTGGCACAGGGTGCCCAGAAGAAGCTGTGGCTGCCCCATCCCTGGCAGTGTTCAAGGCCAGGTTGGATGAGGTTGGAACAACCTGGTCTAGTGGAAGGTGTCCCTGCCCATGGCAGGTGGTTAGAACTAGATGAGCTTTAAGGCCCCTTCTAACCCATTCTATGATTTATGCTTCTATGCATAAAATAAAAACCATGAGTCTCCACTAAGTGGAAGTGTCCCTTTCTGCATCTTTAGCAGCAAGAAGAGTGAAAACAGCAGATTTGGAGTGAAGGTATATTGGGAAAACAGCATTAAAACATCCCCTTCAACAGTAGGGATTTAACATTTCTGACCATCAAGAAAGAAGAAAAACCTCTTATGTTAGAATCTCTGGAAAGATCCTTCAGAATTATCAGTAATTCCAGCAATACAGACTCAGAAAGCTCTAATTTTCCCTTACCCCCCCCCCCCCAAACAAACAACAAACTAAACATGAAAACCCAAACCTCAAAAATTACAGACTACAGGGAGATAAATGTGCCTTCTCTTGCAGGTTCTGTGCTCAGGCAGATGAGAAGATCAGGAATAGGGCACTGTAACTGTAGCAGCATACACATTCAGTTACAGACAGGACACAAGACAACACCCAAAGAGCTGATCTGAACTGGGCTCTATCATAGTGACACTGCGTGTGTCAGCAGCGCTCTGCAGAAACAGTGTCACCAAAGAGAATGGCAGTCCATTTAATCCTTTTTGAGACAAGATGTAAACCTCATCTCCCGTTCAACAGAAACCATGGAAATTTTCAAAGTCAGACTCTGTACTACTTCTGGGCAACGTTAGAACACAGAGGTACTTACTTGTGTGGGTCATGAGGGTGTGGTTTATAGACAAGCCTCTCATCTACTGACACTAGATTTGTAAATGAAATCTGTAGAATACAAAACAAGATTACCCCTTGATAAAAATATTAAACAAATGTAGTAAATAAACCTGCAGATTCAAAACTAATGCTTATATGTCAGATTTAAACATTGTACTTTCCCTCCACATGAGGGTTGAGATTTCTCAACATAGAGAAATCTCCAAGTTCAGCAGTTGCTGATCGGGTTCCCCTTCCTTAACTTTCTGTATCATTTACCGTTATAACTACCACATTTATAACAACATTTTAACAGTAGGATTGGGCAAATTGAGCAGTACAGAACAAAATTAGGAAACAGTGACCGTGTACACCAAATGGCTTTTAGAAGTTTCTTTTCTTAATGCCTCCCTCCCCCAAAACTACTCCTGTCCTGCTCATCAGCATGTTCAGACACTTCCATCCTGACAAGTTCCAAAAAGCTAGTAGCGTCTTCCTGCAAAACAGAACTTGTCCACTAAGAACACATTATTTAAACCTTTAACTTGTATTATTCTAATGCAATTTTCAAGATTAACTTCCTTTTTCAATTTACAAGGTATTATAATCTGCAGCCTCTTTCAGTTGCACAAACACAGCTACTTACATTGCTGGATTTAAGCTCCATTGTTTTTTTCAATGGGTCAACAACAGAGTGCTCCTGAACATAGGTCTTTGTTCTGCATGTGCCGATGAGCTAGAAGGCAGGCAAACGTATACAGCGTTAATCACACAAACCAGCTGCAATTTTTTAGTGCCTTTAAAGACGGAAGTATCGAACAGACACCGAGACAACAGAATTAGGGTTTAGCTTAAAACAAAACTATTCATTTGAGGTAAATATAATTTTCAAGATGGAAGCAATCTAAGACTTAAGCAATTTTTTGCTATGAGGAAGTCCCTATGTGTACTGCTGCTGAGCTTTCCTCAGCAGGTACATAAATGCTTATCTCTTCAAACCATTACAGTTATGAAATGATACACGTCTATTACACCACCCGACTCACAAGCTTCCCCTGCCCTCTGGCATCCTTTCCAAGCTCTATGACAGAACACATACCGATTTCACAATGGAAGGTATTCCCCATTCCGTACTGAGGAGCCGGTGGCTGTGCAGCTTCCCACTAGGATCTACGTGTCTGTCCAGCACGTCAACGCCAACCACACTGGGGTTCATGGGATTTGGGTATTTCTGCATGGCGGCCGTTGTCACAGTTTCCCAGGGGTGGCTGCCAAACCAGAACCAAGACACAGAGTTGTACACTTTTTTTTTAAATGGGATTTCTAGTAAAACTGAGCACATCAACCAAATGGTATTTTTAAAGCAGTCCAGTTTCCAGTTCTCAAGCCCACAAATACCCTTCCCTAAAGGAAAACACCTGTTTTGCAGGTTGGGCAAAGGTACGCAGAAGGTAGGATACAACACACCTGATTCATCAGGACTCCTGAGCTCACCTACCTTGTAGCTTCTGATTCGATATGAATGTTTTCCCTGTGACATAATGCTGAGAGAGTGCAACTTTATGTGGCTTCAGGAACACTGGAGCAATTTATTAAGCTGTTACTTTCCTCGAACAAGTAGTATCTTCACATTATTATTCAGCAGAGGTGTTTTGGAGCACTTGAGCCCGACAACATGAATGGGCTCCTAACGCTTCGGTCAGTCTTACACCCGGACACAAGGGCAGCACAAAACAGACCCTCACCACGGCCACCGCGGCGGCTGGATGC